CGCAGCCGGCCCAGCCGCTACAGCCACATCCTGGATGACCTGTACAAGATGAATGTGCTGCCCGCGACCGCCCGGCGCAGCCGCATCGGGGTGCTGTACGCCCCGCAGCCCGATGGCACCGCTGACATGCACATCATCATCAACGGCGAGGACATGGGGCCGAGTGCCAGGGGCCTGCCCACCACCCGCCCGCTCTACGCCGTCATTGACGTCTTTGCCTCCACCAAGAGTGTCCGAGTCATCCCAGTGGATTATGGCTGTAGGTACCTGTGCCCCTCCCTGTGGCACATGCTGCGTGGGCCGGGAGTGGGGATGCTCTGGTGGGGTCATCCCATAGTCGCCAACAGTAGGAAGGTGCCACTGGGCAGAGGGACACAGGAGGTGAGAGGGCACAGGAAAGCCTCTGGTCCTTGTGGAGCACAGGCAAGATCCACAATACCGCTGCTGGGCAGTGTCTGACGAAAGCTCTGCCACAGGCACTGTGCTGGAGCCAGGGGAGAGACCCTCAGCAGCAGCAGCAGTCAGGCGGAGCCCCCCTGGCCATCCTTCCCAGAGTGATGGGGTTGGGTGTTTAGGGCCGTCCCAGAGCTGTGAGGCCTCACTGTGCCCAGCCTTGCCTACTGCACGTGGCAGGCAGAGCCAACCAAGATCCTGCTCTGGCATCAAAACATCTGCCTACATACATCAAGGCTCAGCACACTGTGCCCACGCACCTGCCGCGTGCCCCAGACACGGTGTTCCATGGGCAGACACCCTGTGATGCCTGGGCATTATCCCGCGTCCCTTGGTTTGCTGGGAGGGACCAGGCTAATGAGTGCTAATTAGCACCATACTGGAAAAATGAGGACATGGATCAGGTGAGACAGAGCCAGAAGAAGAGCTACAGTCAGAGTACTGGATGCCCCCAGCACTGGGAGACACTGCTTCATATACTGGTGTCATATACTGGTGTCAAGAGCAGCTGCTTCTGTCCCAAGGCTAGAAGCTGGTATTCTCCCTGGTGAAACACCTGAGGGGAGTGCTGGCTGCAGCAGACAGTACCCACACTGCTGAGCTACTCATGGCTCCAGGAAGTGGTATCACAGGAGCAGGAACCAGACAGATTCTGTGCAGGTGCCCAAGGAGATGGTTCTCATGGTGGTCTGCCCCAAAGGCATGGCAGGTGCTGTCTCTGCAGGCAGTAGAGCCCCAGCCTGTAGACACTCACCCAGCAGCCTAGTGCTGGGGCCAGTGCAGGCAGACCAAGGGAGTGTGATGGAAAAGGAGTGCAGCAGAGAGGTGCTTGACAGCTGCCAGAGAAAGAAATGCAAACCAGGCACATTCACACACAGCTTGGGCACATAACTGTCTCTCAACCTTTCTCCTAATAACTTTGCTGCCTGGGGCCCTTTAGCTTCCAGCCCTGCTGGAGCAGCCTGGCACCAGCCCCCGCACAGCCAGTTCAAACCCACGGCAGGATGATGCCACAGAACTCACCCTTGAACCACAGTGCCTCTGAGCTCTTCCAGCTCCTCCACCCCTCTGTGCTCAGCCTCACTGCTGACTTGCCTAGCTCAGGTACTCTCTGTTCTCTTCCAGTTCCTTCCCTGCAGACGCTGTGCCGGCTGGTTATCCAGAAACACATCGTGCACCGCCTGGCCATCGATGGCCTGGACTTGCCCCCACTACTCAAGAGCTTCTGCCAACATGAGTGAGGTATTGAGGGTGCTGCTGGGCTGCCCCCCATCAACAGCCCCCCAGCGATGGCTACCCAGCAGGCTCTGTGCCCCTCCCTGCCCACTCACCCAAGTATGTGCCATTGAAGGGCTGATGTGAGAGCAGGGCAAAGTGGGGTTGGGATTTTCTCCAAATTGACGTTGTGGCATGCCCAGAGCACGGGCAGGGGGATTTATGTGGGTCAGAGAGAGCAATAAAGTCCTTCCAGACAAGACTCTGTCAAAGGAGGCTTGGGGAGCTGGGACCCCCCCACCCTGTGCTTCAGCAACCCCTCGTGGGAGCAGTTCCCCCACCAGTGAGGAAGGGAGCACAGGCCACAGCCCTGTGGGGTTCAGGACGTGTCCTCGGCCCCAGAAATACACTGGGACTGTCTGGGAGGATCAGAGCAAGTACTGGGGTGGGTGAAACGTGGGAGGGCACAGCACTGCACTCACGTGGAGGTAAATTACAGCTGGATGCTCATCCTGGCTGGGCAGTTTCACTCTTGGGAAAGATGTTTACCCAGAGAACGATGAGTTATTTCCTGTGTGTTCAGCTTGGAGGGGGACGGGTCAGATGCTGGAGCACCCAGGCAGCAGTGCTGGCAGCAGCCTTTGCTTGGGCACGTGTCTGTGGTCACAGAGCCAGTCACAGTGACCTGGTGCAGGGCGCAGCCATCCTGACTTGGAGCTCCATGCCCTCAGCTCCGTGCCCTCAGCCAGACCCCTCAACTCTTGGCAGGTGGGATTGGCAGCTGGCATCCTGCAGTGCCAGGCCGGAGGGGAGGCAGGGTGGCAGCTGAGCAGAGGAACAGGCTGGAGGAGAGAGGTCTCCTAAAATGAGAGGGGTGCCCACAGGAGCCAAAAAGATAGCGAAGGGGTGGGCAAAGCCTTCCAGGCTTCCTCCACAGCACAACCAAAGGGGAAACAAGCATCTCTAAGCTTACACAAAGGTGTTTTAAAGAAACATGATGCTATATTTAGTGGGAGACTCGATAGTATCAGATCATGTTACAAAACTCTTGCTCAAAGGAAATCCCCAGCCCGCAACCATGGCCAACTTCATCAACATCAAAGTGTTAATGAAGGAATTGCTAAATGAGGAAAACATAGACAGTGACCAAACCACAGAAATGGAGCAAGCTTTCTGACATTCTCTGCTATGTCCCAACAACAGGCTGGGAGCTGCTGGGGCTGGAGCTCATCTGGCTGCGATGGGGCTGGGGAACTCACCCACTCCAGAGCAGCACCCACAGTCCAGGGCGTTTACTCTCCAGGCTGTTTTCCCTCCCCCAGCCTTGCACGAAGCCTTTGCTCCCACCTCCCTGCAGTGTTGTCTGCCCGGCAGTGACCCCCGCACACGAGGGCGGGTTCTTCTTGAGGAATTGAGAGCAGCTGCTGCAACCAGACAAACAACAGCCCTGCTTTATAATGGGTTGCAGCACAGTGGGATTGCAGGAGCTGCCACCTCGGGCACCACGGTGGGACAAGACCACCGACCATTGAGGAGCACTGCCTAAAGCCCTGCCTGAGTCCCCATTCCCTGTTCTCTGGGGAGGGAGGGGTGGCTGCAGCTGGCACAGGGACAGACTCAGCTCCCAAACAACACAAGGGTGATTTATTGGCTCTGTTGCACAACCTCACAGCTGGATGCTGCAAGGACCTGCGGGTGCTGGCCACAGATGAAATAGTTTTGTCACATGTTTTTGTACCTAGATCCTACAAATCTATGGGGCCTTATGGGATTAATTTGAGAAACCACAAAGAGCTGGCTGATGTCATCACAAAGACTCTCGATGATTTTGAACAGTTTTGGTTATCTGGAGAGGTCCCAAATGACGGGAAGCTGGGAAATGATGTCCCGATTTCAAAGAAGGGCAAGAAGGAAAACCCTGGAAACTACAGGCCTGTCAGTCTCACTTCAGTGCCCAGTAAAATCATGGAAAAGATCATTCTGGCAGGTATTGAAAAACACCTGGAGGAGAACATAGTCACCAGCTGCAGCCAGCACATCCTCATGAGGGGAAAGTTCTACTTATTGAACATGATTTTCTTCTTCAGCAGGGTAACCCACCTAATTGATCAAGGAAAGCCAGTAGATTTAATGTTTTTGGGCTTCAGCAAAGCTTTTGATACTGTCTGTCCCAGTATTCTTTCGGACAAAGTGTCCAGCTTGCAGCTGAATAATCCTGTTACACAATGGGTGAGCAACTGGCTCACAGGTTGGGCACAGAGTTATAGTGAATGGGGTGACATCAGGCTGGTGTCCAGTCACTGGAGGGGTTCCACAGGGCTCCATCATTGACCCAATTCTCTTCAACATCTTCATTAACGACTTGGACTCAGGACTTGAAGGAATTCTAAGTAATATACTAATGTTTAGTGCTGATGACACTAAACTGGGAGGAGCTGTCAACTCCACTGAGGGCAGAGAGGCCCCGCTGAGAGACTTCAACAAATTGGAGAGATGGGCAATCACCATCCATGTGAAGTTTAACAAGAGCAAGTGACAGATTCTGCACCTTGTACAGGGCAACCCTGGTTGTATATATAGACAGGGGAACAAGCAGCTGAAGACCAGCAACTGTGGAAAGGGACCTGGGAGTCCTGGTTGATGGCAAGTTGAATATGAGTCAGCAGTGTCCTGGCAGCTGGGAGGGCCAGTCATGTCCTGGGGTGTATCAGGCACAGCACCACCAGCAAGGTAGGGGATTGTCCTGCCCTGCTCTGGTGCAGCCTCACCTCAAGTCCTGGGGGCAGTTTTGGCACCACAATATAAAAATGACATTGAGCTATTAGTGTTCAAAAGATGCCACAAGGATGGTGATGGGACTGGAGGCAAAGTTTATGAGGAATAGTTGAGGTAACTTGGTCTGTTCAGCCTGGAGAAGAGGAAACTGAGGGAAGACCTCATTGTGGTCTTCAACATCTTTATGAGAGGAAGCAGAAGGGCAGGTACTGATCTCTTCACTGTCATGACCAGTGACAGAACTCGAGGAAATGGTATAAAGTTGAGTCAGGAGAGATTGAGATAGGATATCAGAAAGAGGTTTTTCACCTAAAGGGTGGCTGAGCACTGGAACAGGCTCCCATGGGCAGTGGCCATGGCATCAAGCCTGTTCAGGTATTATCTGGACTCAGGAAGTATCTCTCAGGCACATGGTGGGATTTTTGTGGTGTCCTGCACAGGACTGGGCGTTGGACACGATCCCAATGGGTCCCTTCCAACTCAGCAGATTCTATGATACCAGCACCTCCCACATCACACCACCCAGAGCTGGCTCCTGGCCACAGATGCTAGCCAGGTCAGTGACTGTTACACTGCCTGTGGGATCAGGAGCTCCCAATCCAGTTCCTCTGCTGCCCTGTGCAAGAAGTGACACACACTCAGCAGATCAAGGACCCAAACTGCCCCTTCCACACCGAGGAAATGGCAGGCTGGGGGGGAATGAAGGTGCAAGACAGTGGAAGCACCCAGCTCAGCTCCCACTCAGTGCTGGAGCTTGACTTCAATGGGGGGCCTGATCCAGCTGTCAGCCAGCTCCCAGAGTCCTGTGCTCAAAGTCCTCACTACCGTGGTGGGGAGCTGGCTGATCTCTGCTGTAAGGAAGGACACCACCAGGCATTTATCCAAAGACTTGTTCCAGGAGCTCTTTAGGACCTGCAAGAGGCCATCAACACTGTCTAACCCGGCCTGATGGGCATCACATCCCCTCTCCCATGGTCTACTGAGCATCTCCCTCTGCAAGAGCTTCCTGTTTGAATTCAGCACAGCCAAGGTGTGCCAGCAGGGCAGTTGGAAGGCATGGTTGAAGTGGCAAGTGTAGCTACTTGGGCCTTCCTGGAAGATGCCCACAGGGTGAGCATCCTCCAGGATATGTAAACTGAGCATGTCCTACCTGGTGCCAGTCAACTGCCTGGACTTCCAAACCACTGCCAGCTCACTCAGACACAGCCTGGCAGCAGTCTCTGTGTAAATGCCGCTCAAAGACTGCCTGATGCCATCTTCAGTCCTTTGGGTAATCTAATCCTCACTGTTACCCTCTGAGGTTTCTGTGGTCTCCAGTTTTAACACAAGATACAGTATCTAACAGGGACTGAGCTTGCTGGCTCACTCTGGAGAAGAGCATGAGATGTTTCAGGCTGACACTGAAGGGCTTCAGAGAGCTGGTGGACTCCAGGGAACAATCACACAACTCTCAATAGCTGCAAGAGAAGCTGACACAGGCTGCTGCTTCTGCTGAGCTGCTGCCATAGCAGGAGAAGCCTGGCCAGAACTCTGGGATGTGTTACCCTGACACACCAGAGGGGCAAGAGGTGAGTCTGAAATAGGCAGACTTTGGGGAGCTGCCTGAGCAGCACAGTGATCAGGATGGGGAGCAGAGAGCATCATGGCATCAGGTGGGATCTTAGAAACACACTCTTTGTAGTGCTGAGCCAAGGTGGTGATGCAGCTCTCCAGAGAGAGCCCAGCACTGAAAATCTGACCTAACCTTTGGATGACAATCTCCAGCTCCATTAAGATGTCGCTGCTCTCTCCCCTCAGCTGCCTTCTGTCCGTGGCCCAGATCCCATCCTCGAGTAGCCAGTGAAGGTGGAGCTGAGGCAGCAAGTCCAGCCTGATGAGGTCTCTCAGGACGATGAGCAGCTCCTGCTGGCGGCTCTCTGTGCCTGCACCCATAGCTTTCCTGGCGGCGATCACAACCAACCACTCGGTGCGGTGCTCCAGGCACAGCTGCTGCAGCCACTTGCAGAGGGGGAACAC